TTCGCCTTTCCCCACGTGCGTTTTGGTACACTCAGTGAGCTCCTCGCCCTGTCTGGGCCGGCGGTGGCCCTGGCAGGCTCGGCGATGTTGGACTTCGGTCCGTCGCAGGAGTTGTTCAAGTCTTGGGCACCTGAGAAGCAGAATCTCATCGTAATCCCCGGCTACTGCCTGCCCGGCACCGTGGGCAACCTCGTTCAAGCGAAAGAGAGGAAGATCGAGCTGTCGAGTGGCATCGTCCATGTCCGCTGCGAAGTGGACCATTTTTCCATCTCTGACCACACGGACTCACGAGGCATCGTGGAACTCATTTGCCAGGTCGCACCAAGACAGGTGGTATTGGTGCACGGTGGTCTGCAGCTGATGGACACCTTCACGGCCATTGTGCGGAAGAGGCTGCGACTTCCCTGCCACATGCCCGCAGTCGGCGACCGCGTGGAGATCCCGAGCCCTGCAGTTGTGGAGGCCTGGGCCAGCTCTTTGCTGATGGCCCAGAGCGAACCGGTCCCCCCGCCGCCGGTTGTGGGGGTGCCCGTCATCCATGCCGCGGCGCCGGTGGTCACGACTTTCAGGGGTGAGCTGCGAAAGCGCGACCGCGGAGCTGCCGGCGAAGCCCTGGNNCCCACTGCCAAAGCGAAAGCAAAGGCGAAAGCAAAGATCCTGATCCGTCAGAAGGGCCGCTTGCCCTGCGAGGCTCTCAAGGCCGCACTCCGCGACTCCAACCAAGATGTGCCGGAGGACCTGTCTTCCATCTTCGAGGTTGCCGGGGCGACGATCTTGGTGGATCAGATTCAAGCCGGCACTGCTGCAGTCACGATTTCCTGGGTTGCCGGACTCGAAGATCGAGAGCCGATACTCCAACAGATGCTGGACATCTTAGGCTAATATCGCATCTGTCTCGAAAATATTTGGCTGCGGCACCTTACGTGGTGATCTGTGACCGACAGCGGAGGTGTGTCGAAAGAAAGGTCGCGAAGGTGAAGGGCTGACGCTGGCCGCTCCAAGCGCGGAGACCGTAAGATGCCTTCGCAGTTCGAAAAGCCCAGTGGGGCTCTGTATTCTGTTGTATAAGCTCTTGCCATGGCTTGCTGGGATTCGGGGCGTCATAAGATATACGACCTGCTGCTGTTGGACTGCGGAGACTTGATGTGTGAGATTCGCAATGCGGCGACGATGCGGCGAATTTGTTGCTGATGATCCGCCAAAACAGGAGGGCATGGAAAGGCATGAATCTGCTTCGTTGTCGTTGGCTCGTCAAGTAAATGCTTAGGGCATTGTCAGACCTGCGGTTTGTTGCAACTGTACAAGGAAAACGACGCTCGGCTTCTGAAGAAAGGGAAATGGTGCTGCTGGCACTATGTAAACATGCGCCTGTAACAGTAGCACCCGATGAGATCCTTCAAGAACAGTAGCAGCCTAGCACATCACTGGATTCTCCTAATGGGAGGCGAAGACAAAAGCCACTGAGCCGGACCATCCTATAGTGAAGAAGGACCGAGCCTTGTGGCGCGCATGAGCTAGTTTTGGTTTTCTTGAAGGTCCCCTACCCCTCAGGCCTTCAAAGTTGAGGGACAGAAGACAGTCAGGATTCTGGATTTAGTGTTTAGTGTCTTAGCGGTATCTAAGTCTTAAAGGCCCAGAGGTCGCAAGCCGCAAAGCCTAACATCCGCCCCATGGGCTGCCGCATTGCAAAAGCCCATGCCTATGCAACGCAGTCGCATCTTGCATTATGGCACAATCATTTTACCATGCTCTAGTTTTTCTCATCTGCAGCTTCATGGACGCAACTTCGTAAGCACGAGAGGCGACCTCAGGTGGTTTAGGGCTTCTCCCAACCTGGGCCATTTGCGGTTGCGCAGTCTATTACTCAAGCCCTCGTCTCGAAATTACGCATTGTCCAAGGCTTGTGGGATCAGGTTGCCAGGGAAGCTCGGACTGCAAAACCTTGACAATAAGCGCTAAACTCCGAAGACCTTACACCTTGAACCAGAAGCCCAAACCATCAAGGCCAGAACTTCAGAACCCTTACAAACGCTTCAATGTCCTTTGGATCCTTGGCCTGAGGACCAGCTGCAAAGGGAGGGGGACAGCCTTGAACGAGGCCATAGTTTCGTTTTTTGCCACGGGGGCCTTTGGACATCATAGGGTTTAGGATTAAGGCTCATACGGTTTAGGAGAGGGTTCTGAGGAAAAAGGTTTCCAAGCAAGGGTTGAAAAGGTCTAAGGGGTGATCAGCCACTCACAACGGCGCAATGCTGAAGGGATTGGAGATTCCGACTGCTCGAGGACTTGTGGTATAGTCAGGCGTAGTAACTCGAAAACTTGGGTCTTTGGTGTTATTTCGGCGTAGGAGTTTCTGGAGCTTTTGCTTCCGCTGGAAGCAGGGCAGGGTTGAAGCTTGGGCTTCGGAGCAGGTCTCGCATGCAGTCTACAACTTCGAAGGTCGTTTGAGGAGAGGAGATATATATAGTTTTAAGCAAGCGGAAGATAGGTCCCGAATGCCAGGCATTATAACCCTGGAAACAGGCCGAGACGGACGGGTCTGAGGTGAGGCTGCATCTTTGTTTCATCCTTGTTGCTACGTTTGCATTTTCCTTTCGCCATGTAGATGACATGAGTGTAGATTACATGGATAAACTCCATCGTTCTGCATCAGCGAAAACACTTGCACGGCCGTTTCATGCCAGGCTCAAGCAGCATACAGCCTTTTCAGATCAGGAAAGAGACGTCCTCTGCGAATATGGCTGTCCTTCGTTTGGCCTGCGCACTGCTGCTCCTTTTCTACTTCGAGAAGGCTTGCGCCATCAGAGACCGCCATGTCTCGGAAGTGCAATGCAATGAGAAGTTGGCCGTCGCCGCCGCGAAGCAACACTTCATGATCGAGGCTCCTGCTTTCTTCTAACCCTCAGACCCTCCACCCTAAACCCTTAGCCCTTAGCCGAACGTAAACTCTCAACTCTGATCCCTTGACCTTAGAGCCTTTATAATCGTTACCCCTCGCCCTCAACAAGCAGCTTCGACGTGCAAAGTTGCAGGAAATGAAGGTTGTAGGGTTTAGGAACGCAGAATGCAGGATGAAACTCTAGGATTCCTTTGCAGGGAGTGCGAGGTGTTCCTTCCCCCATTCTTTCCAAAAGAACTAGCTGCTTGAATTTCGACTCTCGCAAAATGGCCTTATCCGGCGACCCGATAGTCCATACCCCCCACGCTGAGCATGTGGCTCCACAAAACCCACAAGCCTAAGGTGAAGAAGATGCCAGCTACCACCAAAGCCTTGTGCAACTGGGCCACGAATGGACAAAATCCAGATGCCAGGGAGGAGGCGTTCAAAAAGCGATGACGCCTCTTCAGGGTTCGCAGGGTCGCGTGCATGTAGGCTGTAGGCTTCAGCGTCTTACAAGACTTAGGTCAGTGTGCCTTGAAAAGGTGGTCCAAAGAACGAAACGCCACTAGCATTTTGAGAGGCGCTGACCTACATGCGCAACGAGCTAGAGTCAGACAAGCACCAGGTGGGTCTCCGAAGATTGGGTTCTTGTTACGTGGAGGGGTGTTTTGGGTATAGGGTTAGGGCGTGCGGCTTAGGAGACAAGGTTTAGCGTGGATCCTAACTAGGATAGAGGATCCCAAACCCGAGGGATTGCAAGTTGTATTTCCATCTTCTTAACTAGTGGGTAGTTGTAAGTTGGGTTCCAGAGTGCGTTTCGGCATCAGCTCAAGCTTGCACCCGGGACGACGGACAAAGAATCTGGTTTTTGCAACAGTTGAGCTCTACCGATACCCTGAAGCTTAAAGCCAAAAAGAAACATATCCTGTGCTTGATTCATCCAGCGTCGGATCTATCAAACCAAAGCCGCCGAAGCCCATCACATACCTGTACAAGCCCCAAACCCTAACCTACAAGTCTACAGGTGACTGGGTGCACCCAAGAGATGTTGGAGAAAGGCTTGGACAAGTATTGTGAGTCTGTGAAGCAGTCAAAGAAGTGATGTTTCTATGCTGTTGCGGAAGCAGCGCTGCCATTGCAAAATCCCGGAGAGCGAGAGAGAAAAAAAAGATGCTGCGGGCAGCGGCAGTGTTTGTGATTGAACGTGTGAGTGCAAGCTGAGGCTTGCTGAGGATGGACGCTTACTATACACCTAGAGACTCGGGGAAGCGCAAGACAACCTTGAAGAAGAAGCTGCTCCTATTTCGACTCTATCTGAGCTTTTCTAGGCTTTCAGTGTGATGCTCATGGAGCCGAAGCTTGCCTCTGATTTTTCCGTCCTGTTCGGAGGCTCACACTGCGACGAGGGAGCCGAAGAAACGCAGCATGAGAAACGTTGGTTCACTTTTTATCGGGGCACCCTGTGTGTTTATAAGATTCGAGAGGCACTTCAGGGTGGGCCGTGATGTCGTAACTGCGTTCTTGTCGATGGTTATTGCATTGTGCTGTTATTCTTTGTTTGGGGGTTGGCTGCAGGTCGTGAGCCAGGCCTTTAACTTTTTGCAGCAAGTTTAAGTTTGAAGAACACCAGGTTCGGCTGTTCCAGCCAGTCGGATGCATCATCCATACTACTGCCGGCAGACGTAGTTCCGCTTCCAGGAAGAAGAAGCAAGCGCCTGGAATTTTAGAGTCTCCCAAACCAAACCGTTTCAGCTTAAATCCTGCATTTGACTTGGCCTTCATGGCACTAGCAAGCACCTCGAGCTAAGGGTCCAGATCAGCTGGCATCGTGCTCAAGCAGGTTGACATTGGTGCGCACACGAACATTGTGTCAAGATCTGCAGAGTCGCCTCACCAAGATTTGGAATCCTTTCCCGAAGTCTTATCGCCATCGAACGCAAAGGGTAACATGATCGCGGCTCTGATTTCTCGGACTCAACAGGTTACCTGTATAGTCCTTGGAAGGCTTACCTTGTTTTGAAGGCGGCATGGAGTTTCATCATATGGAACCCTCGATGCACGCTGTCTAAGCGACGACGTAGCAAGTCATGCAAGGTTTAGGGTTTCGGTTTGGGGTTTAGTAGGTTACGGGTATGTTAGTTTAAGGTTCTATTGCAGGTTTTGCCGTTCGAGGACTGTTGGCTGGGGTTCCACGCGGTGTCTCCGAAGGGAGATCCACAGTGCAAGGTAGATCGGCCATTCTCGTGACAATAGCCATCTTAAGAAGAAGAAGAAGAAGAACAAGAATCGGAATGCAACCCAGACCGCCGGGAGGCATGAATGAACAGTTCCATGGTGTGTCTTTTCATTTGCCCGTCAGCTTTCGCCGAGGTCCATTCGAAGCTCTGGCGCTGGCACGCAGGTTTCACCTTGCACTAAGCCTGCAGTCGGGGGGTTTGGACCTCTGGGCTGCAGCATTGAGCCGCACTGTCGTGTGCTTCAGACACAGCTTGCATCTACAAGCAGAACGCATGGTCCTGCGGGGGGAGAGTCTTTTCTTTCCTTTCTAACTGTAACGGACCACATGAGCTTGTCAAAGCTCTCAAGCCTCGGGATAGGGGTGAAGAAAACTATTTAAAGGATCAAAAAATTATGTAACGGATCCAAGAACAAGCTATTCCTATTTTATACGCAGAATACAGGGCAAAAGACAACAGAACAACACAATCCATAAACACCTGTCCCAGGGACAAAAACACTACTCCGAGAAAAAAAACTAGAAAAGAGGACGGAGAGAAGCACGAAAGAAACAAGGAACTACTGAAAGAAAGTAAAAAAGAACGAACAACAAACGGAAACACAGAAAGAAGGACAGCAATTCAGGCGGAGACAAAGACAGACAGAAGGATTGAAATAATGTAGGAAAGACAAAACAAAAGAACAAAAAACTAATTGAACAAGCAAGAAAAGGAAAGATGGCACTTGGGAAGAAAGACAACATAAACAAAGAAGGAAAGACAGAAAAAGACAGCAATTCAGCGCAGAAGCAAAGTGCACAGAAAGAAAGAAAGACAGAAAGAACGCACAAAAAACTAATGAAGCAAGAAAGAAAGAACGACCAGCGATTCAGCACACAGAAGTTAAAGAACTAAGGATCCTAAGTAATTATAAGTATAGTAACCTAGGCCCATGCACCTCCCTGCTGACAGTAAGCATAAAGAAGAAATGCTCTTGAAACAACCAAGCCGAAACCTTCAGTCCCAGAGCTTCGTTCCGTGCTTTTCCCAAGATGATCACGATGAGGATGATGATGATGAGGATGTATATGTATACATATGTACAAAAGCATATGAATACATGTATAGGTGTATTTGTCTATATGTCTGTATGTACATATGTCGCATGTATTTATGTCTATACATATATATATATATGTGCCTATGCATACATATACATACATACAAATAAACCAATATATATATACATGTATATACATATATGTTTATATATATATATGTATGTTTGTACATATATATATATGTATATGTATATGCAAACATGTGTATATACATATATTTGCACACACGTGTGTGGTTAAAAATAAATAAATAAATATATATATATATATATACGTCCACATGTACATAGATCCACCCCCTCCACCCCACGCCTCCTCAAACCAAGCTAAGCCAAGCCAAGCATTGTGAAGCGAACATGGTGTACACATATAACTCCCCCCCCCCCTCCCCCGCGTATTTCATTTTTGGGCCATGCGGAACCTGCTTCAAAGAATGGCGCACCATCAGTGGACATTCCTTCAAGCAAGCTTTCTGTGAGCATTCTGTTTGCAAACTGAGGGCCTGCACCCATCCCAACCCCCTCGCTCAAAGGACAGCGTGCCGTCAACGGACATTTCTTTCCTTCATGAAGCTTGTCCAAGAAGCCGACCATCCGGCTGTGCCGCCGACCCTACTTCAATCTGCCGCCCTGCGTTTTGTCAGATTCCCAAAACCCGAAAGTACAGTAATTTACGGCATTCTGGGTTCTAAGGGCTATTTTGGGAGGTAAGGGAAGTTAGGCCAAAAAAAACATGCCTCCACATGTTTTTGTGACGTATGGAGACTGAAGCTTTTTGGGCTTATGAGCAGGGCCCTCCTAGGCGCGTCGTCTGCCTCGTCGTTCGGCTTATTGGTCCACCTTTTGCACCACCTCTCCACGCCTGAAGTCGTGCCTCCTCTGGATTTTTCGTGCCCCGTCTGCTTCGAAGGGGTTCACTGGCCTAGTCTAGGGGTTGGGGTGCTGATAGGCTTTTTGGTTTGGCCGTTGCTGGAGTTGCTGCTTTATCTCCGGGCCTTCCTGCTGCAGTTCGCTGCTAACCGCTTGCAAGGGCGGACGGTCTTCAGTTACCGCCTCCTTTGATGAGCCTGAGCGCTCGCGTTTCTGCCTTGGAACGTGAGGTTTCTGAGCTTAAGAGGGTTGTTGCTAGGCTGGCTGCTCAGGTGGAAGACTCTGAGGGTTCTTCTTTCGACATAGTCCCTAGTTCCCCTGCCCGGCCTGTACAACAGTCGACCCCTCCTCCTGCAGATCAGCGGTCGCGGGCCGCTTTCACTCCCCAGCCTAGGGCCTCTCCTTCCAGCTCTGCTTCCTCAGGAGTGCCGTCGCTTTCGGCTGCTTCCCGAGGCGCTGCTTGCCGCGAGGTCGGGTTGTTCTTGCGAAGGTGCCTGTCTGGCCAGCACCGGGGATCGTCGGGAAGAGATAGGTTGCCTGGTGGGTCTAGGTTCTGGTTGGTTGCCAGGGACTACCACGGTAACGATTTTCAGCCTGTGCAAGTTTTTACGAAGTTCGGAGATTGCAAGCAGCTTGTGAAGATCGGGTCGGACCTCGGCCAGAGTGTGTGCATTGGCCTGCCGGCCAGGGGCGACGTGATTGCAGTCTGCTCGGCTGCAGACCTCGAATTGCCTGCCCAGTGGTGAGATGGCCCTTTCCGAGCCTGAAGCTGATTTCGACGGTGATCCCGTTACTGCTCGGGACGCCTTGGCGACAGGTGAGGGCTTTGTGGATTCTTTCTGCCCCCTCGCCCTGCTTAGATGTGGGTCCGACGAGGGCGACGATCCCATCACGGTGCAAGCTCTTGTTGTGAAGGAGGTGGATGCCAAGCTGGTGCTTGCCGTGCCCGCTTCTGCCTGGCACAGGAAGGTTGCAAAGCGAACGCTCCCGAAAGGGTTTTTAACCAAGGTTGCCGCGGCAGAAGTTGCTGCCTGTGCCGCCTCCGACAGAGGCACAGCGGTGGAGGGCGTGGCCTTGAGAGTTTGGTTTGGTCTGGTGGAGCCGGCCGCCGAGTCAGTTTTGGAGGTCTCAGAAGACGTGGCTTCTGTGACGTTCGGGTCCTTGCCCGGCGGGGAGGCGGCCCTGCCTTTCGTGCCGGCGTTGGTCGCTGCTGTGAACGAGAGTTTTCTTTCGCCTCTGCAGAGTCGGCCGGCACTGCTTCCGCTGCTCCTCTCAATGCCCGGCTCGACCGTCTCGAGCGAATGATCTCAGCGCTTACCGGTGCCCAAGAAGCCGAGCCGAGAGGCCAGCCACGTGCAAAGGGCAAGCCCGGAGCGAAGGCTACTTCAAAAGCCCCACCTGTGCGAAGCAGCCTCGACTCCTCGGTGGCGGCAGCGGCGAAAACGGCTGGTGTACCGGCCTCTGCCCTTGCCGAGTTCGAGCGTTTGATTGGCCAGCCGGCCGGTCAGCGCATGATGGCCGAGCCTGCGGTGGGTCAGGCCAGCGATCCTCTGCAGGAGTCGGAGGGAGAAGGAGCAGAGGAGGACGATGCTCTACTACCTCCTCCCGCCGGATCTGGCTACCCCGTTCTGAGGCCGAGCGCACCCGTGGAGAGCAGCCAAGCCGAACAGTTCGCGGCAGCAATGTTCAGGATGATGGAAGGATATTCCAAAGGCCAGGCCTCAAAGACTTCGGCCCTCGATCGGGCCATGGACGGCGTCGGAGGTGGTTCGGGCGAGGGTTCGGGCCTCCCCACTGACCGGCGCAACGCCGCAGCTCGCCGTGCCCTTCGAGAAGCTCTGGTGACTTCCCCGACGGACATAACGGCTGTGATAGAGCGCCTGATGCAGGAGGATA